ACAGCAACCATGTGCTATGCACTGGGCGAGCCAACCAATTAGCGTTCGTGTACGAAACTATGTCTACTCAGCTTCGTGTAGAAAATTCGACCAGACGAGTTCTTCCATGGTTTGCCACACGAAGCTAAAGAGGAAAGCAATAATTTTGAGCACCATCGGTAGTTGTTCATCTCACTCAGTTCACATGGTTTTAGATTATAACAACCCGGTATTAGATTCAATCAACGTTGCTGTTTAATGAAAATACGTTGCATTATGGTTTGTTTATTGTTATAGTTTATTGTTATATTCTTTTTACCTATGGTTGCTCTCAAAAGGGCCGTTTGTTTTGAATATTTTCGGGGTTTTTGATGACGTCATCGTCCATACGAGGCGTACGTAAAACAGAGGGTTCGTATAACTGGGGTACGTAAAAACGAGGTTCCACTGTACTTTTTTAACAATAAAATTATTCATGTGCCTAAAGGAGTGTTTAATTAAACTTGTTGATTTCTTTTTAGCATTTATATAAAATTAAAGCAATCCAGTCTGGCACATGTACATGAAATAATGAACAAAGTTATAATAAACTATGGAATTTGTAAATTATTTTAAATACTGAATTTGTGTCTGTATTTTATCCTGCAACTGCACGATAGAGCGAGTTGATATTGCTTGATCATGGTGAGTGTCAATGAGCATATTAACATTACCATTATTACAGTATTTGATTGTATGATGTATGATATGCTTGCATATACTAAGATTAAAAGGATTGCAGACAATTCATGAACTTGTTTGTAAATAAAATATATTTTTTTTACACTTTCAAAATACAGCACAGTAAATGCAAATGTTATTTTCACAAACATTATACATAGGCCTACACTATACCTGTATTAATGTCTACAGTTCAGCAGTTGCAAGGTACAGTGAGTTAATATTGTTTGATATTGGGATGTGGCGATTAACATTTATGTAAACATCAATCCCAAGTTTTAAAATAAAAATAAGCACATTACACCTGTACTGACATATTTATTTTTGAAGTTGATAAACGGCATAAACAGTCAAGTGTCCTATTATTATTTATATATTTAAATCATATTATAAACGATAATTAAAATATGTGTAACATTACTGAAATTATATATCAAATAGCAATATAAATTATCGATGAATTTGTGACTGCTGGGCCTTTAAGCAAACTGTATAAAATCTTCTCTCTGTAACTGAAGAGCAATCAAGAACAAAGCACTGGACCATTTTCTGAACACTGTACCTGACTGCCGACTCTATGTGGAGAAAAAAGAAATATAAGAGATTAAAATCAATAGTACACAGGCTAGTACAGCTATCTAGACTGCCAAGGACTACTTTAATAGCTAAGCCTAATTAATGAACAGTGGGCTAGCATCGCACCTCCACCCGAACTGGGATGCTCAGTGAAATACAGGTCTCTTCAAACGGGGCCTAGCCTAGACTGGAATAGAGTTAAGAATGGCGTAATATTTAGCATTTATGCAAACTTGAAAATCACTTAATATAACAACAATAAATCACATAATAACTAAGTTTAAAAATAATATTAACTCGTAAATATCGTATCGTACATGTCTTCTACAAACATGATTTAAACTACAGCTGTGTCGACGCCTAGGCCTACGATCGGAAGATTTTAAAATGCTAACTTATGATTCGAAAATAAAGGTGAACTTACGATAGGCCTATATGATAAATAGATTATTTATTTTCAGTGCCTTTCCGGAATTAAATGGGGAAATGCAATATAAGTTACAGAAATGCGTTAAACTTGCCGGTTTACCACAGAATTGGGAACATCGGCGATCGCCCAAAAATGTCAGATGGGGACCGTTGGAGGATCGTCGATGCCACCTTCACCCTGGCCTAGGATAAAAAATCGCGGGACTAGCATGTCGACAATCAATTGGGGATGTGACGTAAATCTATTTCCGGTCGCCTCGAAAGCGGTAGCGAACGCAGTTTGGCCATTTTTTTTATCTAACACAATCTCGCTCACGACCCAGCATCTCAACCGCTTGCGATCGATGGAGACATGTGGACGAGACTTTATAATCCCTAGATTGCATCTTATACACATCTAGATTTGTATAAGAGACAGGGCTACAACATGGATAAGCTTAAATAGCTAAAAATTAAATTTAAGTGTGTAAAATATCTGAAAGTCGAATAGCAAAAATATAAATATAATGATGAATATATATACAACGTATAGCAGATAATATAATAAATGGTATAAAACAACAATAGTAGGCATAGAAGCAGGATATACAGTCGTGTATATATATAATAATATAGGCCTATATAATGACGAATGGAAAGAGCTGATGCAATTTAAGTGTATCGAAATTTGTAGTCGCTAAGAAAATCAATGTCTTTATTAAGACCTATAATGTGGGTTTCGAGCTTCAGAATGAGTTTAGGCTCGGTAACTCGGCGATCTTTCAATGATGTAAAGTTGTTAGCTATGAGGGTACATTTAATATCATTGATGCTGTGATTGGGAGAATTAAAATGAGTGGCAATGGGAATGTTTGATTTATGGTTATTAAACCTACTTCTAAAAGTGGCACCGGTTTCTCCTATGTGTGATTTATTGCCAATAAAGAACCCGAAAACTAATTCTAAGTTGTACTGTACTTTTATTGAATCAACAACTAGTATCGTGAACACATAGCAACAACATCCAAAGTTATCAGATAAAAG